ACAGCTGGAGAAAGGTGCAGGGGAAGAGCCCTTTCAGACACTGAGATTCCTGCAACTGTGGGTATACTGTAAATTCCATATTAAAACTCCTCATACATACTTAGGAATTCTCTTGATGAACTACATGTAGTCCCACTCCAGCTGAGATTTAAAAATAAATTCTCTCTTCTGATTTTGAGCCAATCCCATGAGGTTTTGAGCAAATCCCAAAATTGCTTTTGGCATTCATTTCACATCAGGCTATGAGGAAATACTATATATTCACGACTATATGTTTATGATGTAAGAGGAGGACTCTGTTGTTGCATACATAAATGGAAAGCTACTCCCCGACAACGAGAATACTGCAAGAAATAGTTCTGAGAGGGTTTCAGAGGTATTATATTGATTGAGGATAAATCTGATATTACTGTTTTCAGTATTTAGTTAATACATTAAACTTTTATTGGGACTTGAACATCGGTGGTGCTAAATAGAATATGGGAAAGGGTGCGGGATATTCACTGCCGTGAAATGTCACTTTAGCTCACTAGGAGGCAGAGGTGGCCAAGGCTTTTCTGAAGGACAAAAAGGTGCATCCCTATGGCAGGACCTGCTTCTAACAGAGGGACTCACTTCAGACCAATGCTGAGAAGCATGAAAATGCACCGAGGACGCTGTTTGCTTTCCGAAGCTGAATGAAACTTTCGAGGGAACAAATAAAATAAATTTTGTTCCATTAGCAAATACCTGACCAAGACTTTGAGGGTGTGTAGTACTTGGAGTGAAAGTGACTGCAGGATGAGACTGGTATTCTGTGAAGACGAGCACAGCAGCATGAGGGCTAGTAGGCTCAGAGAACAGGCAAAGAAGGTCTCTTGGAAAAGTAAACCGAGGGACAAAGAGATTCAAGGGATGGCAGTTACTGAAAGAGACTGTACTAAACGTCCAAGTACCTTTAGAGAGAAAGTGTAGTGACAGGCCAGTGTAACCACACTGGCAATCTCCAATCGACTAAACATGAAAAAGAGATCATGGAAAAAGCACAAATTAATGCCTATGTTACTAAGGATGAGTCTAAGTCTTCCTGTGCCACCATGCCTCGGGAGATAAAAGCAGAAAAGTTAAAGCAGAACATGAGCTTTAATTAGCAAAGTACATGATAATTCATAATAAGAGGTTTCAATAATGTGTTATAAGGTAAGTCAAAAAGAAACCCCAGAAAAAGGCAAACATTACAGCATGAGAAAGGGGTTGAAACAACAGTTAGCACAGATAAGTACAGAAGATTATTAAATGCCTTCCTTGTTTGAGTCTCCAGAAGGAGGGAGACTGTGGTCAGGTAAAGGTCTTTCTGCCCGGGGAATGACACACGGACGTGAGCTCTCCTTGCTGACGCTCTGAACCAGGCAGGCACAAGCTGCCTCTGAACTGCAAGCCGTGACCCCACCTGCATGGTGCTCAGATGCATTCAGTGGGACCTCCTGAGAAGTACAGCTCATCATCTCAGGGACTGCAACGCGGCCGGAGCTGGCCTCCAGCCAGCTGGCTCCTAGTGGGAACAAAGTTCAAGTCTGGCCGCAATCAGCTCTGTGAACATGCCCCAAATTAATTTTGACGTGAAGATAAGACTACAGGGCAAAATACAGGGGAAAAAAAAAAACAGGGAGAGAAATAATTATATGAGGTCAGACAGTTCAGGTTAGAGGCCTGATGAAATTCAACACAGAAAGCCTAAGGTATTTTCATGTGGGCAAACTGTGTTTATTTGTAGAAAAAAAAAGCACCTCACCAAACTGAAGAATGAATCCTGGTTCCTCAGCACTGTGCGTTATATGCATGTGTAAATATTATGACAGAATTTTTGCTCTGGTACTTCTCTTTCTCCTCTATCTCTAACTCTCTGTGGTATATAGTATCTAACTGGCAAGAGTTACCAAAAGTACTGAATCATCTACATGATGTTTAAGGGGGTGCAAGTTACCTGAAGGGCAAGTTATGCATGGAAAAAAATATTAATTCAAGTAACCTTTGAAACACGGGCAGTTATTTTAAAAAAATCACATAATGCAGTGGAGCTTCAGGAGACTACAGCACAGGAAAGATCTGTCTTTTTCAGAAAAGGGGAAAAGCTGAAATTTTCTTTATTCTAATCTTTCTAGATCTAGTGTCTAGATTGAACAACTGTAATATATTATCCATTTCTGAATCCTTACAAGCTAAAGATTACTAAAATTTGGATTTTTCAAAAACATATTAGGTCACTGACAGTGTAAAGTGCCTACTAGATGAGAAATAAACTGTAGACGCTATGTATTTTGACCAAGGCAAAGTCCTACATTACTTTCTTACCAGCCAGTAAAGAATTACGGTATCACCATGAGATCCATGCTCAAAAGCAGCTGCAGCTGCTGATAAAGTAATATTCAAAGAGTAGGTAACCATTATTCACTTTCAGAGCAGGTAATGGCATTGGTGAGTGCAGAGACAAGAAAAATTCTCCTAACATCAGGCACAAAAAGTAGTGGTAAGGGACAGGATTAAGACTTAAACAGATAGAAAGCCCAAAAAAATAAAGAAAAATATTTTTTAAAAAATAGACACTGAAAATGAAACATGATTAAAAAAACAGTTTCTGATTAAAGAACTTTTGCAATGCTGTGATTGTATGGAAATACATCCATCAACAACAAACTTGTGTGTAGCTTAAATGACTGAAATTTTGCCAGAGGTGTATGCCACATTTTATTGCCTAATTGTTTGGTATTAACAGCAATAAAGTTCTGGTCTTAACCTACCTCACCATGTGTCGTGCACACTGGATAAACTGGAATACCCCTTGGTAAACTGTAGCAATAAAAGTTATTCTCAAGCAACGTCACTCCTTGCTGAAATGAGACACGGTGAGACACCTCATCACAAGGCTCCCACAATAGTACAATTCAGTTATTAGAATGATACATTAACATTTGGGGGAAACGTCTATCAAGGCCCCCTGTTCAGGCTGGCCCTTGAGTGCACCAGACTGCCCCTTGGATGCATGTGTTCTTCCGGGGAATGCTCTGAGTGCATCTGAACCACCCATAGCTACAGTCCTGCTCAGCCCCAGCACCTCATGGACTCTTACCTGCTCAGAGATTCCTTGTCCCAACCTCTGCAATCAGGCAAGTTAAGATCAAGCTTGCAGAAGGTCTCAGACAGAAATCCCTGGAACCTTTGACTCCAAAAACCTGATTTTCCTACAAATGGAGTCTGAAGTTTACTGTGTCCCTTAGATGTTACAGATCTCAAATAGTTTAATCACATAACATGTTGACTATAATGTATGTGCTGAGTTTACATTTT